AAGCAAGCAAAACGACACAGAACTGGGTTTTTAGGGACACGGTTGGACATTGTTGGTGCTGTCTTAAAGGAATTTGGGTCCTTTTTCAGCACAAATATGAGATCTTCAGTAGCACTCAGTTTACTCTTCCGTAGGAACAGCCAGAATTGGATTTGTTTGCGCTGGGTCCCTGTGAACATTGAACATTTGCCGAGGAGGCCAAAGAGGAACGGAGAGGAGGGAAAAGAGAAAGCAGAAGGGAACGGAGCTGTCTTAGCAACAGTTTGGGGGTGTTTTGAAATTGTTAAACAGCAAACAAGCTTCTGTAAGTCATGTTTTGCTATTGAACTTTAACTTTTCCTTATTTTTCCTTCTTCTTAGGTTTTCAGTAAAATTTTGATTTGTAAAACTGTGCTCACACTGTCAGTTTAGTACTGGCAAGCCAAGTGGGAGAGGCAGACCTGATAAACCTGTGCAGGAATTGCTGTAAAATATTCCAGGGAAAAAAACCTTGCCATTGCCCAGGAGGTTTGAATGATGATCATGTGGAAAGCAGAGAGCTTTTGAAACAGCACAAGCATGTGTGGGACACGTGATAGCATTGCCAGAAAGATGTTGAAAGATATAAACCGGGAAAAACTGTTTTAAAACCAGGTATGGTCTTAGAACTGGAGGAGCTGTCTTCCTCTTCCTGCATGTACCTTCATGGCCGTTACCTCCAAAGCCCCCAATAAATCATAGAAAATCAGCTTGCTAAGCTGTGCTGCTGAGTCATTTTAGAGTAACTTCCACCTGCTGCTGCAGCCCTGTCCTGCTTCCTGGGCTGGCTGGTGTAGACCTCCTGCGGTCCAGTGGGGCAAAGAGCAGGCAAACACATCCTCATATTGTCCCTGCCTGCTGCTGGCACAGCCCCGGCTGCTTCAGGTTGGGGATCAGTTGTTTATAAAATTCCATCTTTTAAATCTGATCCTCCTGCGGACCTGTAAAAGCAGCAGTTAAGGTGTTACTTAGTGAAGTACTGAAGTACTACTTCACTAAGCATTTCTGAAAAGCTTGTTTCTCTGGGTAGCTGAAGGCCTATTTGCAGCATGTCAGCCAGGAGGATGTGTCTTTAAACTCAGCCTTCATTGCTGTTGCTACCTGTGGCACAACAGTAGAGTTCTGGTGTTTTTCTTGATCTCTAACCTGGATAATGTTGCCCTTGCTAGTATTAATAAGCATTTTCCTGCCAGAGTAATCTCATTGGGAACAGACGTGACAGCTTTACTGATGCGCAGTGCCACCCACATACCTGGTTCCTTGTTTACTGTGAATCTCTCCCCCATGATGGTTTGGAATTGAAGCTGTTGCTTTTTGGTTTGGGGTTTTTTTTCTTCAGTTTTTCCCTTTCATGCTTTTTGCCAGTCGGAAAACACAACAGAAGACAAATAGCAGTGTTTGGATTGTCATATTGCATGGTTGGATGCATGGAAGTTGGAAGCAAATTTATAGTTTGAAAGAATAGAATTTACTAAACAAAGAAATGCTTGCAGAGTGACCTTTCCTCCTTTTGAAAACTTAGTGATTGTGCAGCTGTTCTCTCCTGTCTTTGCCTAATGCATATTCATAGATTTTCACAAGGAAAAAACATGTTTGGGAAACCATGATTATAAGTTAATTAAAAATAGTTTTAATTTTAGAAAATTAAGTGTGTTGGCAGTGGCATACTCATTGCTAATGGGTGATTGTATTTTTCAATAATAATAAGAGATTCAATGAAACTCTAGAAGATGTTAGAATATGATTAACTAGATAATCTATGTATTTGAGTTTTTATTCTCAAATAAGACAGATCTCTCAGAGCCAGAAGTGTGAGTTTATATTTGATAATTATATGAGACTCTTGAGCTTTCTTGCAGATTGTAATTCAATTGCATAAGAAAAGAACTTTAAAACGAGAAGAAAGAATGAGTGCCTCTAATTACAGGAAGGCATTGTGACTGGCTTGGTCAGCTTGTTCAGCCTCTTGTCTCAAACACACCCTGGCAGATTATGCACTGGACTGTGCTGGAGCTGCAAGTAAGAGTACAGAACCCAGCAGTCCAAATTATACCTTCCTCAAATACTGGTTTGGTTCTGTGGCAAAAATAGTTTCTGACAGTGTTTATCAGCTGTGGTTTTAATTTAGCAGAGGATATTATATGGTGAGGTGCATCAGGGATGCCTGGGAGGTGTTTGGGAGCCTATGGCAAAACAAGCAGCTGACTGAAACTAGGGACCTGTATCACAGAGGCAGAAAACTGGTGTCTTGTTTTTCTGAATCTGAAGACAGAAAAGGTTATGTGTGGATATTTTTGTCCAGCTCTTTATTCATGTGTTCTTATATAAGTGCAATCCAACTCCATTTTCTATAGTGTTAAAAGTCCGTATTACTGAAAAAAGCATAGCTAACTTTGGAAGATGGTCCTGAGATTCACAGTTCTGTTTGTTTCCATCTCTTGTGCAGTGCCAGGTCCAAGGGCTGTAAAGCTAACGCAATAAATACAGAAAAGTTGCTATTACAGAAAATTTGTCAGTAAAACCACCCAGTCTTTGCCCATTGAATATATTTTTTTTCATGTGTGTTGTTGAATTAAATATTAATGGGGATAAGAATCCAGGTGAAAAGAGTCAAGTAAAAACAGACTTGGCTAAATTAAGAGAGCCGGAAGATGCCTTATGAATCTGCCTAAAGCAGTTAATGTAATTGCTGAGAATTTTTAAGAGTCCTCTGGGTCCTAAGCAAAGCACCTTATGACTGCAAAGGGTAACACAGTTTAAAGGAGAAAAAAGGGGAAATAAACAGCCCCCTTAAAGATTAAACCAAAAACAGTCTGTTGTTTCACTTAAAAACCATCTGAGTTGAAGCTAGAGAAATAAATGTATTTGTATATTTTAGTCTCGATGGGATTTAAATACAGATTATGACAAATGAGGTCAGTGTCACACATGAGAAGATGGGGACTTCAAAGATGAGGCTGAGGCAGCTGTTCTAAATGCTATAAATTGAAAACCCGTGGTTTAGTCAAAATGACCAATTTCTGGGACATCTGCATGTGCAGTTAGGCCTGTGGCAATCAACTGAAAGGTGGAACTCTCCCATACTTGTGCGAAGTTTACCAAAACATGTGGATGGGAGCTTGGCAAAGCTTCAAAGTGAGTTTAGAGCAAGCGGTGTGCTGCCCTTAACAGCTGGATGAGTCCTTGTAGCGGGTTCTTGTAGTTTGGAGAGGATGCCGGGCCTCGAGCGAGAAAGCCCTGTGGCATCTGTCAGTGGTGGTAGAGGAAGGATGTGCAGAGCCTGGGGAGGGAGGAGCTGCTTGCTGGAAGTACCCCAAGAAATGGTCGCCCACTTCCACCTCCAGCTACATCTGTGCACAGCACAGTGCGCTTGTCTAACAGCTGTCTCCCGAAGGTGTTGAGGCATTTCTGGCTGGCATTTCTAGCCCGATGGGTTGTGGCATTTTGTACTTTCCGATGACTGCATTTCCCAACTTTGTAACAGCAGAATGCTTTGACGAAAGACACGTTGCTTCTCGGTGTTGGGGCTGTTTGTGCAGCCATGTCGTACTGTCTTGGTGAAGGGGTTTGCTGTCAGCCATGGTTGTCCTGGTGGGCTGGGGACTGTGGGAGGGGGTAAGTACAAACCGGGGAGGGACATTGCTAAAGGGGAGAGGGACCATGAGGTGTTTCAGGGAGACCTGGTGCCACTGGTGTAATGGCCCCAGAGGATAAGTTGGTCACACACAAACCAGGAGGAATGGCTAACTTCGTGCCTGCTCAAGGAAGTTTCCCATGAAGGAAGTTATATAAATATGTTGATTCGTTGGAACAGTGCAAAGTATGTCCTTCTGAGGAGAAAGAAGCATCCCATTCTAAATAGAGGAAGATGCCAAAAGCAATAGATTAGTATCAGGAATGGTTGGTGATATGGACTATAAACCAATGCATTCAATGTGGTGCTGTCATTGGAGATAGATGTTATACTGGAAGATAAAAATGCTAAGCTAGGCTCAGGAAACAAATTATTCATCACTTTGCAGTTCTGTACAGGACAAGTTAAGTACTGTCTGTAATCTGATTAAACAATAATTGCAAGACATCTCCTGTTATGAAACAAACTAGTAGAATGGGAAAAAGTTAAAAAAAAAAAAGGATGTCTCAGAAATTCTCTCAAAGGACATCTTTGGTCGGATGTCAAGGACCTGTACGTATCTCAGAGGGTCAGCATGAGTAGTACTGAAATTACTGTATTTATCCATACGCACATGCATATTTTGTGTATGTTTTATGTTTAATATTTGTATGTATATAAAATGTGTATAACCAATGTAGCAGATATCTCCAGTGATGGGATCTAAACCATCCATTGTGTATCAACTATACAGAAAATACATTCTTATAAATAAATATATGTATATAAACACATACATGCACATATATATAAAAATTAAAGTTGTTTTTTCAGTTTGGTTTTATCATTTTTTGAGACCAAGTTTGTGGACTCTCATGTTGCTTCCTTCCAGTGGATCATCTAGTGGTGTACGTTACAAGCTTGTCTGTCCACAGCCTTGTACAGTGAGGAGCAGCTGCTAACATGGGTGTTGTATCAGCAGATATTTTCAAGACAAAGATAAAGAGGAATTCTGTGGACACTCCTGAATCCATGAAAAGTTTTTGTTAAATTCAAAGAAAATGAAGTAATCTTTTTCAGCCTTAGTGTAAAGAAAAGCTAGAATTTACCTAGCTTGAAGGCAAATGATCAGACTGTCTCCAGGCCTTAAGACTCCTAAATGAAAGAAGAATGTGGTCTTTTTCACCATTTCAGCCTCTAATTTTCAAACATGGTTTAGGTTCCTGCTCCCTAGTGTATCTGTGAAGTTGCAGTTGACTAAAAGCAGCAGTGAGTACAAAACAAGTGATGCGTTTGACCTTTGTTGCTAATTCCAGTTTGAAATGTTCACAGCAACTTGGCTAATTGTATTATTTTATTTCTTCTGAAGGCAGAATGGGGAAACAGAACAGCAAGCTGGCCCCTGAGGTGATGGAGGATCTGGTGAAGAGCACGGAGTTCAATGAACACGAGCTAAAACAGTGGTACAAAGGATTTCTAAAGGACTGTCCAAGTGGTAGACTGAACCTTGAGGAGTTTCAGCAGCTCTACGTAAAAGTAAGTTATTTATTTAAAGTTCCTGTTATATGGTCCTAGAAAAGGTTTCAAAGTAACATAAAGCAAACGTGGTCAAGAGCTGCCATTAATTTAGACTAAGGAATGCTTTTGCTGGAAGAAGCAATGGAGAGGACGAGGAGATAAATGGGAAGAGCTGCGCCCATCATACCAGCAATTCATATAGCTACAGTGACCAGAACCAAAAGTTTAGGAAAAAAGCTGTGTTTTACTCACAAGAAATATACTCTGCACTCTGTAATTTATGGACCTATTTCACCTTCAAAGACTGGTTGTGGTCCTGTTCAATGAACTGCACTGTACCTGTGTGATAGCACTAGAATAGAAAACCCTATGATTGCTGGACCTACTCATATAAAAACTGTCCTTTTGGTTTCAGCAAAATCGGTGAAGTTTCACGGGAGTATGTTCTGCTGATAAATTATGCACTGTGCACAAAGGATTTCTTTCTCTAAATTTTAAGTATTGTCTTTGTTTTTTCCCTGCTGTCTCTTTGCCCTCGTTATGTATGAGAGGAAAACCAGGCTGCTTGGTTTATTTTCTTCTTATTTTTCATTATTTTATCAAGTTCAGTGTAGTTTTTTCCTTACATTTATTATGTATTTATTCTGTAGCAAGAAGAGTATGGGGGCAGCATAAGAAGTGTATTCATGTTATAAAGATAATTATATTTTAATTTGGAATCGAGTGTCTGCCTAAAGGTCAGAGACTTCAAAGTAATTTTAATTAGAAAAAACATTGGATGGCAGTGATGAACAGTAGGATCAGAATTGTTCATAAATACAATGTGAGGCTGAAGAAAAATAAAAAAGCCTTTCAAATATAAGTAGTTAATATTGAGCACGCTGATAATTTCTGCAGACAAGTGGGACTGTGTTTTCCCTTAAATGCATGCTACAGTCCTTTCCTAAATTTCTTCAGCCTTGAACTAGATCACTCTGCAAATTATTACCTAGCCCCTTTTTCCTGCTAATGAGTGGTCTAGCAAAAACTGCTTACTCCATCTTACATAAATAAGCTTCTGTTGTCATATTTCAACATTTATGGCTCAAGATGTTGCCTCACAATCCTTCTCTAAAGAAACGACTGACTTTGTAATAACTGTTACTTTCAGATGAAAGAATTTTTACTGCCTCAGGTATTCTTCTTGTTATTGACTGATAATTTATAGCTTCCATTTTAAACAGTACTTGGTGCGCATCCACCAAGATCAGACGTCTAATCATTTTTCTTACATATTGCTGAGGAAAGTAAATGGTCTTTGCAAAATATCAGTTCCTAATAAAGTACGTCAACTGTTTAACTCTCTAGAAATCATTATTTTCTTTTTTGGAAAATCACAGTGAAGGGATTGAATTATTTGTTTCTATAATTTGAAAATAGCTCGAAACTGTTAGGAATTCCTCCCTTCATAGGAGTGTTTTAAGTGTTCACAGATATTTCATAAGATACCTTACTCATGAAGAAATATCAGAGAGTAAGTTCAATATTGTGTTTACAAAAATGGTAGTGCAAAAAATAACATGAAGAGCACAGCAGTATTTTGCTCTTGAAATCTGGAGACAGCTCTGTAGTCTTACTAAGCTGCAGTATGACTTTTAGTTTTATGACCTCATACATTTTTAGATAATGCACATCAAATAAGATTGTCTCCCTTGCTTTGGTAGTTATGGGTTTTGAGATCTGCTCTGTAATGGTACAGCCATATATTTAGTCCAGTTTATCGTAATTTCTTATATAATGGCTACATACAGGGCTAAATACTAATTTTGCAGAGGAGAAGTAGGATGAGCTATAGGAAATACAGAGCTTTACTTCTCCTGTCACAGAGATGCTTGTAAAATAATGGCCCTGGACTCTGCGAGGAGCTGATAGTCTGAGTGCTGTCAGTGGTGGCAGCTTCTCCTATGTGGGACGTTCTGCCTGCCCTGGCTGCTGGCTGCAGACGAAACCCCAGATGCACAATTTCATCTTTCCAGGAGGAGCCACCAGCAGGAGACCCAAATTGTTACGATTACATTAAAAGCATTTCAGTTCCTTTAATGCATATTCAGGGTGAAAATGTATGAAGCGTGTATTGATCAATAATTCCTCTGCATGAACTTGTAGTTGAGAGGCATGACATTTTGTCTCTTGGTCAGAACTGGAATCTGTTGGAGATTTCCATCACTAAATATATTTTGACAAGAGTTATCTTCAGATTTATATTTTTCTTGACACCATTACTTTGGTCATGAGAGTCGTGTGGTGCGCTTTCACATGGATTGATGAAAGGGTGCTGGTCATCAGACTAAGATGCGAAGAAAGCTCTTCTTTTCTTTTACTTACACACAACAGAAAATATACTTAGCTTAAAGAGCAAAAATGTTTTAGGCTATATCAGGAGCTTTATTTTGAAGTGAATTTCCTGATTAACTCCAGTTACTGCTCTTCCATGGTAATTACAGAGTGGGGTGCACAATCTTGGGGCACAGAAACTGCATTTTTTTGGTTGAAAAATAGCCAGAAGATGTGTCCTGGGTTCACACCTAAAGTATTACCGTATCTAATGCCTGCTAAGAACCCAGAGTTGGTCCAAAGTAAAACATCCAGAACATGTATGATGTGGGTGTCAGGTCCTCAACACTAACTCTTCCACTCTGTGTTTGCATCAATTGTACTGTGCTGTTCACTGATGTAGATGAAGACTGTATTGACTAAAGGGGGAATTACTCTAGCTTGGCTTGGAAGCCTTTGCTATTGAAGTTTCCATTGTGAATACCAATCATGCAGTGCTTAAAATAAATAGCAGTTATACAAACGGACTCTACAGAAAAATTATTTGCAGCACTGTTAGTGGAAGTGTCTATGAAAACATTTAGTCAAGAATACCTCTTTTATATAAGCAACTAATAGGCAGAAATGTACTTTGTACTGTTGCATATTTAGCGTTGTCTACAATCTGACAGGTTCAGTAAAAATATTGGTGCGTTTTTGGGTGGATAGATTCCTCTTGGGATCCAGAATCTGTGGCAAGCTATTAGGACTCGTGTTTCCCTCCATGTTACTGAATGAGGTGAATGCTTCAGCAGTTTTTGAAATAGTTTATTGAAGAAGTCTTTATATGCTATAAGCCCAGAGCCACAAAGAGACCTAAATGCTGAAACACTGAGTTAGCTGCCCTGGCAGTCTGCACAGAGCTTGGGAGGAGGAAAAATTTGTGGATACTGTTCTGAGAAAGCTGAAAATCAAGCCAACATGTTATAAACAAATGTGACAATGCAAAACCACAAGGTAATGCTCAGGACAGAAATTTGTAATAAATTCTGCATTTCTTCAGGGTATATGCATCTGTCTTCCTGTGGGAGCTGCATCTTTCAAACCTCTCCTGCAGAGACCTATCTAGGACATTGGAAGTCAAAGCAAAATCAAGTGACTGGAGTCTTTTTTCTTCCTCTCTTAAGGAACAAAGACTGTGTGAATGCCTTATCTTTACCACAGTGGTTTAAGTACTCATCAAGCTGTAGGAGTCTCTGAATCAATTATCATGTTCCTGCAAAGAGCTTGAATCTGCACTGCTCACCCTCTCATTGCTCTACCTGTGATGAGTTAGGCCCTTCTGGGCTGCTGGCAGTATCCCAGTTGACCTCTTCTTCTGCAGAAAATAGTGATAAGTAGCATTGGACAGTCTGGAACCTACAGTTTCCATCTTCAAAGTGAATATCCTAACTCGTAAGCTTAATCGTTGTTTGCTTTCTTCATTTTCCTTTTTTCTGTTCTAAAAGTCCTTAGTTCTTTTATCTTACATAAAACATCATTAGCATTGTGGGCAGAGAGCTGAAGGAATTAATATGCAAAAGTGTCATTAAAATAAATATACCAATAACACATTCTGGAATGTTCCTGTTATTCTTTAGGATTTCTTGCAGTGTAGAGGCCTAAATACATTTTCCTTCAGATCTTTTGAATTCACTGGGTTTAGACGAATATGCCCTAGAGTGTGTAAGTGTGCATAATCAGTGCTAATGTTCACAGGAATTATGCATGTTTATTAAGTGGAAAATAGGCTTCTATATTGTGATACTTCTTGGAACTGGGTCACTGAACATGAGAAGCATATCCTCTGGATTAATAACAGAAACAAGCACCAATGGTCCTTTAACTGAAAGGGTAGGGTTGGGCATGATGATGACATAATGCTAGCATTAAATAAAAAGTCATTTGCTTTGTGAATTTATTGCACATCTGTAATTTAGCTATGTTTTGGGGTTTTATAGATAACGTTTAAATAAAAAAAAACAGTAATGCCATTGATTAATTACAATCAAGTGGTTTGTCATATTTTTGGCTTCTATCTCACATTTCCTGCCTTGAAGGGAATTGATTTCTAGTCCTTCATTTTAATGTGTGTAGAATAAAAGAATCTCAAAAATCTGTTGAAATTTAAGTGGGTATATTTGCAGCCTCTTTATCCAGATTTTCAAGACAGACTAGCATCTTTCTAAAGATGGCACAGAGCTCCTCCAAATGTTAGTTTAGAGCTGCGTTTCAGGCTTTCAGTGGCTGTGAAGAAGTGGGATTCCAGAACAGCACAACTGTGTTTACAGATACCCCTAACATTGATGCAGTTGCACTGGCAGAAACTGATTTTCCTGGGATCATCTTGTTTAACTGGAAGAGCCGTGCTGGCTTTATGAGTGCAGTTTGGCCACTTAAGTTCTCCCTATAATAGGAGTACTTTTTAGTTATGTTATACCAATGTTAGGTATATTACACCTAATATAATTAATATATTTAGGTATATTGTACCAATCCTGTATGCTAAAGAACAACAGCATGTTTTGAAATCAGGCAGATTATCGAAAATGCAGATACATCTACTCATACAATGATTTTAGCCCATGCTGTTGCTCCCTTTCAGGAGATCACATCTGGGATGCTAGCAGTCTTCCTGGACAATATGACAGTATGTTTGTTGGATGCACCACTTAAAATTAACTGCA